TCAGTATCATAAATTTGAAATTAATATTAGTAATGTGATGTGAAAGATCGTGCATGAATTAGCAGTAAGCAAATTGTAGTTATGTTCCAAAAAATTTGAAATCAATTTTGAAAAATATACTGCAAATATTAATTGCATCTAATATATTTATAGGAAAGATTTAAATTTTTCTTAAATTAATTAGTAATATAATAGTTTGAACTAGATAACGGAGAGTTTGTCACTAACAAAATTTGTTTGTAGATATTTCATGACAGTTCGTGCTCACGCTCGTCGAGTAAGTAGCGCATTTCCATTTTTCGTTACAATGTTATCATTAGTAGATTATTGTTGTTCATGATATTTAGGTCTGTAATTGCAAGTTATTAAATATTAGCAGTGAAAATGATGATAATTTCAAAGTGCTGAGAAATTAGACAAGTTCTCGTAAAAAAACCAAATTGTGTTTGAATTACATACGTACTAATCGATTCGGATTACGTCAAGAAGTGCTGTTGACTATGATTATAGTTGATTTCTTAGTGATATGATGTGATAGGGAATAAATTTAGCTGTTTATTTTTATACTATACATATTTGTATCAATTAAATGTTAGTTCTGTTACTTATATATGTAGGAAAGACTGAGTGGGAAAAATAATTATCTTTTTAATCATTTGTGATGAAAAGTTTTAGCAGCTAGAAAAATAAAGTGCATATATCTATCTATCTATCTATCTATCTATCTATCTATCTGTCTGTCTATCTGTCTATCTATCTGTCTATCTATCTGTCTATCTATCTATTTGTCTATCTATCTATCTGTCCATTTATTTCTCATAAAAAATTTACTTGTAGAAGGAAATAAGTGGATAGAAGAAAGTTAGCAGCATTGATCGATCTGCTGCTATGCTAGTACGGCTCTATGTTTGCAGAAGTAAGTATAAAAGTGTGTAAGTCTTGCTTGGCTTATTTTTGCATTATTTTCAGATTTTTATGCAGCGGAGTGTAGTTTAGTGTTGTCTCATGCATTATATTCCAGTGATCTCAGTATGCATAATTTGGGCCCCACATAAAGGAGCATGTTTCTGACTACTCATTCCATCTAGCTCAATTTTTCAAAGATAAATTCTTGCTTGCCCTCTTAACTTTCACTCTAAAAATATCCTCATATGAAGATAAGTAAGTATAAGTAATGTTGTCATGTAAATTACATCAGATTTGTGCTTTTGTACTGAAGCTAAAATTGAGAATATTGTAGTTTAATCACGCTGATTAATGATTACCATTAAATTGCAAGGTTATTTTTAGTATGAGTCATAGGCAGTTGTTATGTCGAACGCAACATTACTTTTGGTATGGAAATTTAAAAGCAGTATTAGGACTAAGGTTTTTTTAGTATCACTTTAACTAGAAACTAAAGATGTATAATATTGTTGTTGTTCTTAGAATCAAACGAGAAGTGAAGGTAATAATGCTTGGGAGAAAGATTTTAGCATGGTAATATGATATGTGTCACCTCACCTTTCAAAATGCTCGTTTTATCATCAAGCTGGTTATGGATAATTTTAAACTGAGCAAGGATGTAGTTTTTAGTTGCGCTAATATAGCATGCTATCTATAAGTTCAGTCTCCTCACAGCCATATCATTTTTGATCGTAAATGTATTTGTTATCAAATGCGGAGTCACAGCAGGGAATGAGGAAGGTATGTGATTCGATTATACTTATAAAATACTTAATTGTAATAATTTCGGTGCTTTTCGCCTACTTAGATGTAGAGTAATGCTCACTTCTTGTGAAGTTCATCAATTTTATTGAAAAATTATGAATGATAAGAGAAAATTTGTTTTGTATGATGACACTCAGTATCATTCATAGATGTTATTTGTTCTCATGCATTAAAGTGTTAATTAATGCTTTTGTTCTTCAGTAGACAGTCAGTGAGTAGAATTTAAGCATTGACAGTATTAGATTAGATATGATAACAAATAAGCATATGATGAATATATTACGAGAATTATTGCTTAAACTTGAAGAATAATTGTTAGGAGAAGGAAGTATTGGTGTGAGAAAATTTGTTGTTATTAGAATATGTACTGCCATTGTGATTGTGTTTGTGATTGTGATTGTGATTGTGATTCTTAAATAGAATAGGATTTAAGGGGAAGAAAACAGAAATCGATAAATGCTAAAATTAGAAGAGATATGTTTGGTTAGCTTTTGTTAATTCCATAATCAATCTTGTGTAGTCATTTGATAATGCGCCTGTTTTTGATAATGTCTATATCTATTATCTCTTAAAAGTTGCTGTTGTAACAAATTGTAAGAATTTTTATTATAAAGTCAAACATTTGTCCATAAGCAAGTGTTTTAAATGGAATAATCTGCTTTTCCCGTCATTCTATCTTTGTTTGCGAAGACAAAAGGCTGCGTAGCTTACGTTAATAAAATGAAAAGTAAGCAGAATAAAAGCTTTAGAAGAAATAACGCAAGTTGACAGGAACTAAGTCGAACATTTCTACTTACTTAGTCATCTACTTACTTTTCATTTAACTAACTTTTATAATTAATTATTATTTCAATTTACAATTTTGATTAGTTTGCAGTACAAGTGATTGACTACCCTTTTTAATCTAATTTTATATTGCTTTTCAATATTGTAAAGTGAGTAATTGCTATCGAATGTGCAAATAATTCATTGCGCTGATAAATAAATATTATGAAAAATATCCATCATACATGCAACGTAGCGTTCGGTGTTTACATGAAGTAAATAATTTTAAGTCAACTTTTAACGTAGGATAAAGCTGCTGAGTTGGCAAAACATTTTAAGCAATATTACTCTTTTTAGATTTGATTAATATGTCTAACTATTATTAGCATGGTTTTGAATAAAGCAATGGAGGATAAGCTTGACTTTTAAATTCAGGGAATTCTATTATACTCTGGATCAGTGTCGGATTTCTCCGCTATATCAGTCTCCAGTATAAGAACATGCTTAAAAGATAGGTACAAGAATGTATGGAATAATGGTTAAAACAGGCAATTTATACGTCTTTCACTGAAAAAGTAGAATATTGTGTATTTACTTATGTTGCAGTTAAAGCATCATTACCAGTGTTTTTTCTAGAGATTTTCATCATTTTGAGCTATTTTTTCTGCATGTAAATACCTTTCACATGCTCCTAGCAAATATGGTAAGTAAATATTAATTTCCGTGTTTGTTTACTTCGAATGGCGTGCTTCATGTTCATTTTTCTTTTTGCATTCTGACATGTTTGCGTTTCAGGCTGCTGTTTGCTCCATATTGTTGATATTAACTATAATTAAGGATCAAAATGTCATTTTCTGGTTTGAAAAAGCAGCTTAATAAAGCAAATCAGGTATCTTAAGTGAGCAAAATCTAAACAGTTATTATTATTGTTATCATTTGTCACAAGTATTATTTGTTATTATTGCAATTTGTTATTGCGTAAGGTCCGTGAGCGTACTGTATTTAATTATTGTTAAGTGACAGTAAATGCTTAGAAGGTAATATCTAAGTTTATGCAGCATTTTCTCGAAAGCAGAAGTTCATTGCAACAAATAACTTTGAAATTTTGACCATATTTTAGTAATATAAACTTTGATATTATTTGTTGTGTTGAATGTAAAGCTAGAAATCAAGGAAATTTTATTGCACATTTCGTTATAATTTGTTATAACAGTTCAGTTCAATTAAACTCAAGCATTCAAAAGCAATAACTATGGCAACTTCAAGTGACTTATGCTTATGCTTTAAAGAAAATGAAACTTACAGTTGTAGTCAAGAATCCTGTTAACTAATAGTGCGGATAAATTTGAATTACTTTTTGCAAATGAATCTATTTCAAGTTAGCAAGGATTCCCTGAATTTTTTTCGCTTTTAATTGTTATATATAATATTTCAACATTCACTAATTTTGCAGTATCTGAGTGAAACAATGGGTGCAGCTGAAGCAACTAAACTTGATGATCAATACAATGATATGGAACGGGTGTGTAGCAATTTTATTTACTGAGTTACTTTTTTATTTTCTTGTGAATCCTTATCTATTTTGCACCAAACAAATTAAGTTTTAAATTGATTGAGATTATTGTAATGAGTACTTTCGTAGATAAAAATTTCAAATATCACATGCAGCCTATAATTTGAAACCTTTAATCTCTTTAAAGAAAGTGGATCTGACTTATGAATTAATAAGCGCGTTGATCGCTGGAACTCATGAACTACTACAGCCTAATCCAGGTGATCACAACATTTCATTGATCGTATTTTCGAACTTGAAATTCATTTTTAGTTTACAATAGTTGATTATAAAAGTTCTTAATAGCGACTCGAGCGAAAATGGCTACAATGGGAGCTCTGTCTAGGGTACGCGGGACATCTAAGGCTCAGCCATATCCACAAACTGAAGGTCTTCTAGCAGATACAATGCAAAAGTATGGAACATCTCTAGGAACAGATTCTGATCTTGGCAAAGGTCTGTTATGCAGTTTCTTATCACATTCAACTAGCGCAGTTTTTCTATTTTACTGCTTGATTTATTCCCCAATCTGCTGAAAATATTTCTTCTTCAGCTTTAATTGATGCTTCCGAAGCTTATCGTCAACTGGCTGATATTAAATACCAAATGGAAGATAATGTAAAACATAATTTCTTAGATCCTCTGGCACACCTTCAACAAACGGAAATAAAAGAAGTTAATGTAAGATTATGATTATTTCATTGCAAAAGATTTCAATTAGCAATTGTCCATTGTTTTTGATCTCTAAACTTTGCAGCATCACCGAACGAAATTAAAAGGACGACGTCTTGATTATGATTGTAAAAAACGAAAGCAAACAAGAGGTAGAATTTTTGTTCACCTTTGCTATTTCCAGATTTTAGTATTTGTAAGCAGCATTATTGATAGAAGTTTTCTTATGAGATCATTTTTAATTTAATGCTTTCATTTTTGATGTTTTTGGAATACAGTGCTATAAAAATATAATCATATTCGATTAATGTTGTTTTAATATGAAATCAGTTATCATCAAAACTTGTGGAGTTATATGTTGTATTAAACAGGGAACACCTTCAATCAAACGTCAGTTGTTTTTAAAACGCCTTTTTTGCTTTTATTTTTTAAATAAAAAAATGAAAATTTGTTGCTGATGAGGTGGTACTTTCTTATGAATCCATTCGAGGTGAAGTTTTTTCAAAAAATATTCTATTCCTTTACTGCATGAAATCGAGTTTCCTTTTTACTCTTCGATTTTGTGAAACATTGATTCAATTAAATGTCCCTAATATTTATTTTGTAGATGAAGAGTTAATTCAAGCTGAAGACAAGTTGGAAGAATCAAAACAGTTGTCGGAGCAAGCCATGTATAATCTGTTGAGTAATGATGTAAGAAATTGTGCATCTTCCATACATGTAGCAGTAAATTCATTTGTTTTTTGAAAACGCAAAATGTTTTGGCTGTTTAAAGAGTAAATCATTTATAGTTTCTTTTACGTTCAATGCTACAAAATTTAGATTGAACAAGTGACGCAGCTTTGTGCTTTGATTGATGCACAGCTAGATTTTCATCGGCAAACCACTCAAGTATTGGAACGTTTAAAGACGCAGCTGATGGAACGGTACTTTTTTTGCTCACGAATACAACAATTACTCCTAGATTAATTTATTCTGTTAAAGAAGCTTGTACCTAATATCTATAAAATGATTTCAGTGTTGCGGAAGCAAGTACCAGACCCCGAGTGCAACATGTGATCAAGCCTGTTCTACCAGATAGAGTACCCAGTATTCGGTAGGTTCCGACAAAGAGATTGAGATCATTTTTGTTGACTGTAAAACGAAAAGAAAGGCATTTATAATATATCTGTTGTACATTTTTACCGACTCATGTGTTTGAAGCTGCTTTACAGATCATCGGTGCATATTGAAAATTCGACGTCAATTAATAATGCCAACTTTCAACCGTCTGCGTCTTCCATGTATCCACAAAAGTTACAAACCGAAGATGGTGACTGGGGTTCAAATGCATTGAAATCTCTCAACTCAAATACTAATCTTACTGGTCCTGATGGACCACCTCCTTCTGCACCACCTGCTCGCAAAGCATCATGTCGAGCTTTATATGATTTTGAAGCACAGAATGAGGGTGAATTGGAATTCAAGGAGGGTGATGTTATCGAGTTGATCTCACAAATTGATGAAAATTGGTATGAGGGTTCACTATCAGGCAGAACTGGTTATTTCCCGATCTCTTACGTCCAAGTACTTGTGCCATTATAATCTTTTTTTTTAAAGGGATAATTTCAAAATTTCTAAACTACAGCTTTATTCGCATTCGAATCATGTAAATCTCAAGCTCTCTGAGATTTATTAGCTCATTAATCTGTAACGTGTTGTGATCCACTAGTTATATTTCTTATTATCATTATTTTGAGGTTTTTCTAGTGCTCGGGATCCGAATTTTCCGGGTAATACATTATCTCGATGTTTATTTAAATTTTCAGCAGTCATTTATGTTATCAGTAGTCTATTTAAATACTTATCCTAAACACTGGATAAGCTATTTCGCAAAAGCCGGTCGATTCTAGTCATTCTGAGCAAGAAGTGGTCCAGGTCATTCCTTATCAGTGAAAACTTTCCCGCTGTTTGTATACTAAGGAGCATTTATGTCTTTCATTACTTTTCTAAGGACCATTTACTTGTTCTATCACTTATTGCGCCAATTCTGCTTATAATAATTGCGATTCTGCGTCGAACATTTCCGTCATGATATATAAGTACGATCTTAAGCGACGTCCGTTTTGCATTTAGTATGGATATTTCTTCTAGTGCATTGTCTCATTCAATGTAATTTTCGAATATTTACACTACTTCCTTCCCATTACTACTTTTATTGGTGTTATATGATGTTAAAAACTTTTCTTTACAGTGTTAATAGATACTACTTCCTATTTCAACATGTGTAAGAGATCTTATTTTTACCTATATTTAAATGTGTAAAAGTTCGACATGCTTTTATATCATAGCTTATGTTATATCTGACATTCATCTACATCATTATGTGCTTGGTTGTTTGAGAAGTCATTACGACATGTAGCAACTCTTTTACCACATGTAAGACGTGATTTGGACTGAAAAAAGACTTATTTTTAGCCACGGTAGAGTGATATATCTCCAACTTCGTGTAATCTAGTATTTACGGTTACATCTTAAATCGTTGATGTGACGAGCCGAAGTTAGTATTGTAGATTATTTTATGTTCAGTTCAACTATTCTACGATCAATCACAGTTATAACCGTCATACACATCCTTTTGTCCATATGTAATAAATGTAAGCACTTTCAAGCATACATAGGTATATGTTTATAGATACACATGCTTTAGGTAGTATCAATTTTTCAGTTGTTTAACATACTCAGTATCAAAACTAACTAAAATATAGAATTGAGTAAACACAACTCAACTACGCAGATTCATTACTGATACTAACAATAGTACATGAATGAACTGGTTCAGTCTAATGACAAAAGTCGTCATAATCTGTGTTTTGACGTCACTGGCTAACTGAGTTCAGCATTTGTCGATGCTTTTTTTTCAAAACTTCTTGCTGCTCATCCAATATATTTAAAAAGTGATGTAGTAGCAACTCGAAATTCACGTTTGCACGCAATGGATTTTGCTCATTTGCATATGCTGGGTTTTGCTCACCTCCTCTGCAAGCAGTTTCATACAGTAGATGAATACAGGAATTATAGATAGTACTTTTGCAAAAGTAAGAAACTCAAGATACATCCCGGAGAGATGTAAGGCTAAATAAGCCTTCAGTGAGAGAGACCAAAATTACGGAGGACGTCAGCGTTCGAACTGTCGAATTGACTAGATAGGCTTCTTGTGATTAATACAAGGTCGTAAAGTTACTTACTCATGGACCCTAAAGGATGGGATACACTGAATGCGTTTATGCAGAGTATTGAAAGCATCAGTTTGAGGTAACATCATCAACAGAGCCGAAAGAACCGCTGTGAGAGGTCGCTGATGCTTGGCATCCAGTAAATCAAGCCGTACATCTAAACTGCATACAGATACAAAATCATAATTGAGTTAAGACTAAATAATAGCTGAAAAGTATGCCTTATAAGCGTATAGGAATCTCCGAAAGTACTGGTTCAGAACATACATGAGAGAATAGGGCTTTCTATGAGTTGCACAAGTCGGTCAATTTCAATCAGCACAGGTACCGTAATATCAACTTTCCATAGGTGTCGCGCCAGTATGCTCGCATGTTCATAATTTTGCGACAATATACATAAACCAAGTAATGCGATAGGTTGGAAGGCCCATGTACGATATAAACATTCGAAAAGATTAACACAATCCTTTGAAAAATGTCGCGTATTATTACAGTGCGGATGGCTTTTTAACATCACGAATTCCACTGCATTTGAAATAGTCTCCAAAAGACTTCAAGATATTTTTGCCACTAAATCAAAATTTACCTCTGATTTCAACATTCTCAACTGCTTCCTTAACTCAAAAAGTTCTGTAGAAGTAAGCAATATTCCATTTAATAAAGCAACCATTTGAGATATAAATTCGGTGTCACTATCCTTCAGCAGAAGAACTGACAAACAACGATAAATGGATGCAGAACCAAGAAGAATACAAAGCTGCCTGAAAAAACCTGTAAATTACAAATGTTTAATGAATAAAAAGTGAAACAAAGAGAATATAAAGTTATTATAGAAAAATTCAAACGATAGAGTACCTGACAATCAGGACGCCTCTGTCATTAAGCAGTGCAGTGTCATTACGGAACATCGTCAATAAACTGGAAGTAAACTTCACAAGATAAGGTGATATGCCTAAAAGCTAAAAAATCAACATAGCTTCCATATTTCTCACAAACTGCTTAGTATAAAAATGGATAGTTATTAATGAAGCAAACCTGCTTTGAAGTGCTTTTGTCAAGATTTAGTTCCTGTAACTCGACTCCACTTGGGTTTTTACCTTCACAGATATCAGAAAGTAACTGCAAATCTAGCAACAGTACATCATCACACGTATCGGAGAGCAACGAAAGTAATATTGGGAATATGCGATCCATGTAGGAAAATAACTAAAAAAGATAAAAAAGCAATTACAATGATTAATTTTTGGAAAAATGGGAAATCAGAATAGATTCTGATTTGTTTTTGAACAAACACTACTTATTGCCAGTCTCATGTCTTTTATTAATTCTATTTATGAGGACATTTCATTCATATTAAATGGAGTCAACAAAAAGACATAAAAACAACATGTAAAGTATATTATAGATTTGTTTAAATCATCAAAATTAAGTACAAATCACTTTGTTATTAAAATAATAACTTTAGCAGGTGCAGTGAGATGCATTTTACTGATCCAGTTCAAAACAGCTATTCTTGTGTCCAAAAATTCATGTTTGATATGCTTCAAAAGCACTTTAATAACTGCATCATATTCAATATCAGTATCTTCAGACAACATCCCCAATAAGCGTGTATTAATTTCTTTTGCTAAAAAAGTAATATATAAGTTTCTACTTAATTGTTGCTCCCAGCTATAACCATTTTCGAAATCAGTTCTTTTTTGAAACGAATTCAGTGAGAGTCAGATCGGAATTAAATTACATTTATTTTAAATACGATGAGAAAGATCATCTCGTAAATACTATCAGCAAAAATAACCAACTGCAAAGAATGAGTATCTAAAGAAGAACCTTTAAGAGACGTATTATTCAAACAAGGTAATATAGCAGTTAAATAAGATGAAAGATACTGCATAAGCCCAACAGAATGCATTTCCAAAAACTGATTCAACCATACAAGTGCAGTCATTTTAGTAAGAGTGTTTTGCTCACTGCAAGCGTGTACAATCAAGACATTGATCATATCACTGAGTTCACCCTGTAGAAGATAAGGGTTATCAAATTAATTCTTTCTCAGTAAAATAGATTCGAACACAACTAACTTTGTCTCCAGATTTCTCCTCCTGCATTTGTTTCAAAAACTGCCCTAATACTGTCTCTGTAGCATCTCTAACACCTGCTTGACTATCATCCAACATTTGAAATAAACCATCTAAAACCTCGGGTAAATACGATGAGATTGAAACTTCAGGTGCTGTTAATAAGGCCAGGAGCTGAAAAAAAGAAAAGAAATGTAAAACTTTAAATTAAGAGATGGCAGACTACCATTAAGAAGCATCGACTAACCCAAGAAACTATGAATTTTCTATTTGAACTATTTTGCGAGTATATTCTATCACGAATCAATGAGATTAGAGTCGCAACTTCGAATGTATTTGTAGACAAAATAATATCCTGTAAATTCAAACTAAGTGTGCTGATGTGAGAAAGTGCTGTAGGCTTAATATATCTCCGTGGCCACAGAAATGAAGAGTATGCATAGAGAGTCACTGCTTAATTTTTGAAGAAGCTCCGTAATGAAGAAGTTCATTTACAAACCAACCAGTATTCATGAAGTATTGCTTTTAAAAGGTAAATTTAACATTGATAACCTTCAGTAAACGATCTAATAGTTCTGCTCCACTGCGCACATTAAGGTCTGTGTCAGCAGATAACTGAAAATGGAAACATTAGATAAATGCAAAGAATATTATAAAATGTCAATGCACGAGTCAATCACGAAATTAAGGATAATCTTTATTCTAAAAATCCTACTTACTCGCCAAAGAGTGTCGAAAAGTTCACTGAAATGGGATAGCGCAGATGATCGACATACTTTTACAATATTGTACAGTGACTAAAAAAAAATCATTGCTTATACCAAAAGAATTGTGAAAGTCTTGTTGAAATTTCAATTTTATTCAAAACTCTATGTACTCGGTCCAAACTTTGTCCTAATGTTTTTCGAATTCTAAAATGGAATATGAAAGAAAGCAAACATATCACGAAATTATATAACTTCATGTAAAATTTTAATACACTTTAATAGCACGGACTTAGTACTACCAGTCCTTAGCTAAAAAGTTGTAAAATCTGACTAATTATATATAATATGAAATAAAATAAAAAACTGATGTAGAACTAGAAGCATGATGTTAAAATATCTAACTAACCTCACAAGCATAATATCGTACGCGAGAGTCAGGATCAGCGAAGCAAGTCAGCGTAGGTTCAATTAGTTGCGAAGTATAATCTGAGCTATTCTATAATATTTAGGTCCTGAATCACTCCACATTTCATGCAAATTGTTAGCAGTACTCTCCAAAACTTGACTTAAATTTCAAATTTGAGATGAATAAAAAATTTATTATTTCTACACTCACCTTTCCTAAAGCAATTGCTGCTGCAGCAAAACCAATGAGACCACCTTTTCGCGATTGTCCATTCTGAGACAGTGTTAGATCTTTTAAAACATCAAGCAACTTTTCTAGCTGTGATAAATGATTTGCTTGCAGCAAGTCCCGCACTTGTCTGATTAATGACGTTATTCAAAAAATGCAATATATAGATGAAGATTTCTAGTGCTATATGATTGATTGATAAGTGGTACTTTAATAAATTCCAGCTTTAATTTTTTTGATCTTACAGACAAAAAAAAAATTTTTTTCAGGCACAATTTGTATTACCACTCGATGTAACGTTTTTCTCTCAAGAACTGAATAAGCCATACTTTTCAATATCAAGTGCAGCAGCTTTCCGTTTCTCGTATAACTTATCAGTAAGCATTCTCACTAAGGCTCCACCAAGCGGTGCGTACTTCGCATCAAACATCTACAAAGTAAACTTCTATGAATAATTCTTTTGACTTATTTATAAGCAATTTAAGTTTCAGTAAGTTATGGCAAACTTACTAGATATTACATCCTAAAACATATTTGAATTCAATCAATAAACTTAAATCAAAATTCAATACTACACTTTTTCATTCCTCAAACTTTACTTAAACCATACTTTCAGTGACAAAAATGTTATATGAAAATGATGAGATATACGTACGTGATGCTATGCATAATACAGAACGTTAAAGTACTCTCAGTCCTTAAATTTACAGTAAATTAAAAGTACACAAAGTAGCAAAAAAGTACAAAAAATAATCAAAAACTATTCACATAATTAATCATTTTAGCATCAAACCAAATTCTACTTTTACATTTTGTATTTTCTACAATTATTATTACTCACTCGTATGCTTTAATTTTTTTACTGCTGAAAATGGTGCATTTTAAAGTTTGTAAAATTAAAAATTTGCCTGAAATATTTATTCAGATTATTATTCATTCAGTTATTCTGATTTATCACATTTAAATTTTTTGTATTTTTAATAAGGCTCCTAACTTACTTATACATTGACATAGAAAAACTATCAGTTTAATGAACGTAAGTAAATAATGACTCAGGATAAAGCTGTCAATCGACAAAATCCAATTTTTTTACTATTTGCTCTTTCTTGCACAACAATACTTTTACTTTCCTACGACAATCAAACTTTTAATCTTTTTTCAATCACGTAAAATGTGATAATAATCCTTCTTATTTCTTCTATAATTGAATTAACAATTTGCTAATAACTTTGAGTTTTTCCTTAAGAAAATGGCAAACACAAGGCTGAGAAATTACTGCTGACAGCGTAATCTTTTATAAGTGAATAAGTATTGCTCCAATACTTACGCTGCAGTGAAAGGTAATAATAATTACTTGCAAAGCATAACATCAAAGTTCGTAAAATTAAAGTTCGAACTTATGTGAAAGTTTGTAATTGGTAAAAAGGATTAAAAATTCTACAATTTTTGCATATATTTGATGAATGAAACATAAACATATACAAATGTAACAGTAGTAAGTAGATCTAATAAATGAGTAAAGCTACGTTAGTAGATAGTAAGAAACGTCATTACGTAAATGACTACAAAACACAATTATAACAAACCATTTATTTAAACTTTGACCTTATCTTAATGCCAGAGCAGGCAAGGAACACATAATTTTCATCAATATTATTAGTTGCTTCGTATGACTTTACTTCATGCGACACAACACTGTTGCATGAGTTACTTTTGCATTGAAATAGATAAATATGCAGAACACACGCCAGTTCATCTGAGTGAAAGATGTAAACTACTAAATTTACTGTTTAATTTATACATTTCGCAATAAAGCTTGTTTGCGCCACGTGCACTTTACGCGTAATTACATGCACATTTTAATAATGTAGCCGTGAAATGCCGATCGGAACAATGTAACATCGGTTGCTTTGGTTGTTGATATTTACAGGCGAGATCGTAGTTCTTACTGGTATGCATGAGGATTATTATATTTTGTATATTTATAAATCAGGCATTTTTTGATTCATTGATTACACATATTTCAAAAAGTGATACTGTATATCGTGAATTACATTTTCAATAACTTTGCAATTACGCTGTAATTAAACTTACAGATTTGGCTATACCAAAACTGCGAACAGTATGGATAATGAAGAGAGCCAAAATGTGGTCGAGGAGAAGCAGCAGACTTTGAAGTTATTTTTATTTTGCTTCTATTAATATTCGCTTTTACAAATATTAATATTCTTTGTTTGTCTTGTTAACACTTTTTAGCATTGTAGTTCATCAGTTGTAAATATCGACGAAAGCAGTGATGTATTCAATCAAACTTGTGTCGATCTCTCTAATAAAAATATGCAAAGATTACCAAATATTCGTAAAAATTATCCCCTAATGAGAGAAATAAATATTTCTCACAATCGGCTGAAATTTGTCAATAACTTGTCGAAATTTACAGCTTGTCAAAAGGTATTTTGTTGCATAGTAGATGAGTTTCTTGTACATTTCATGTTTGAAAACTTGAAGAAAATGTTTAGTTCAATTTGTTTTTCCATTTCGAATGTACGTACGTATCTTGCGTGTTGCAGATTGATACAAGTTTCAATGCTATAGAGCGGTTTTCATGTTTTTTACCACTTGCCAGCGTTCTAAAATATCTTAATATTTCACACAATGTTGTGAGTAATTGCAACAATTTGGTAGCTTTAACACAATTGGTTTGGCTTGATATGTCATACAATCATATTCAGGTATTAAATTCACTCTTTAATGTTTGAGTTTTAAAATGCACTACACTTTAATACCGTTTAGGCTCTCCCAACACTGGATCGTTTGGAAAACTTGACTTATTTAAATATTTCAAGCAATCGACTGTGCATTTTACCCAATCTGCATAGATTATTGTCCTTAAAAACATTGATTGTGCATGATAATAAAATAAGCACATTATCAAATGTTGGTCGAACAATACCACTATATTTACAAGATCTAGACATTGGAGCGAATGTGATCATAGATCTACGAGAGGTCAAGTTTCGTAAATTTACAAAAGATTAAAAAAGCATAAGTTATCATTGATATTTGCATACACGTTTTTTTGCCTATTCGATCATAAAGTTTACTTTCCAGGCTCAAAATTTATCATGTTTGCGAAGCATACAGTCTTTAGTATTTGAAAAGAATCCTTGCGTTGATCTCGAGGGTCGCACATTTTCGTATCGTCCTTATTTATACTCTTGTTGTCTTGAACGCTTACAAATCATAGATGGGCAGGAACTTAGTGAAACGGAAATAATCAAAGGCATTCATTTTGTGATCCTTGATGAGTTAAAAAGTTTACAAATCAGCTAAGCATTTTTGTTGAAGTCATTAATTTTTTTATTGATTAAAACAATTCGTTGTACTTATAAATTTGTGTGGTTTCAATAAACATCAATAGAAGTTGGCTTAGAGAAGGCTCTTATAATCTATAAATGAATGTTTTAGGAGAAGAACTGCACACTCAAGCTAAAGTACGTCGCATGGGAACACATGCTGAGTTATGTGCCTATCTGGAAAAAAACTGTCCAGAAGACTATCATCATTCTTTTTCCCATGATGACAGCCGTTTGATGAAGGTGATATTTCAACATGTAAAAGGAGTATAAAGATTAGTTGAAAATATGAGTCCTCTAACTTTTATTTATGGATGCAGTTTTTGATAATATACATTGATAATCGTCATTTTGACGACATACAATGGCAATAATTTTCAAGGTTTTGAAAAAAAGACGCGAATACGTCTCACGACTTAAAGATGATGCAACAAGTGACGAATCAATGGCGAACACCGCTTCACCATACAGAGAATGGCTTCATAAATCGGCTTCTTCAGTGCTAAATAGTTCCAAACTTTCTCTTCATTGCTCACAACAAAAAGAAAATTGTGCTCCTCTCGACTTAAATCATTTAGTTTCTCAGCCCACAGGGTGTGTAAGCTTACAGTCAGGCAGCGCTCGAAGAATATTAACGTACTCATTATCATTTTTAGTAATATTCCATTTCTTGAAATTTATAATACTTCAACCAGCTTTTTTTTTAAAATTTTTCTCAGGTTATATTGCATTTTCTTAGATCTACAGCGACTCCTCCAACTTCGGCAACTTCTAATATTTCATCTCCCTTTCTCAGTATATCTGCTCCTTCGTTTTCGCATTCTACTCCAGTTAGATCTTGTATTCAGTTAGTTTTTCGTTTTGCACTACTTTTTTTACGTTTGTTAATATTTATTAAGGTTTTGTTTAATATATGTCGTTCCAGTAGAAGAACTGCGAAATTGAGTCAGATTTGCAGAACTCCCAAAACACAGTGTACAGCAAAAAGAAGTATTCTTAGAAATCAGCCTACCTCCATGTAAAATTATTTGGAATTATCTTCACCTCTGTTTGATTTTCTGTTACATATAGCAATATTTTTGCTCAGTAACTTTAATTAAATTCATTTCGTATTTTTTTAATGTAGTCCAACCATCCCTTTATTATTTCTCCGAAGTTTTTTCTCATCACAATGCGCATTCAAATTACAGGCCCCTGAAGGAACCAAAATTTCGGGATCGTTTGCCCTGTATGAAGTTGAAAAAGACGTTAAAAACAAACAGTAATCAGTATTTGCCTAAAAAGCAATTGGTACGGTTAAAATATATATTCTTTAACTTTTAGGACCATCAATTAAGAACGATTTATTTTTTATGAACAAGCATATAAGGATAGTTCAAATGGTGCAGTTAGGTATATTAGTGAACTTTAAACTTTACAAAACAAAAAAGTTTGAACGAAATTTTAGGTGTACGAATTCTTTTAGACTTTTTTTTTTAAAAATTGAAAACAGCTTATCAATTTTTGGTAAATTGTTTTCAGCAAAAAAATAGTTTACAAGTTCCTGCTGTTCCAAAGTTACCAACACCTGGTTTGAATCGTTATATTACTCATAAACAGTGCGAGGAAATTTCTTTCGTTAGTGCCTGCAAAAGTCAGTACAGCGAAAAGGAAAAAGCAGCAGTCCTCACTATTGAAGTTTGAGACTTTATTTCCCTCCTGTTTTAGTAATGTCATCCACAAATCTCAGAAATAAGATATTTTCAAACTCAGTTGAATTGCCGTATTAAAATAACAAACGTTTTGAACTTTTAATGTTCTCAGGATGAAATTTAAAAGATTTTGAAATTCCAGTCATGGTGGAGAAATATGCAATTTCGACGAATGTCTGAACTTCCATTTCTTAAAAAACGTCTTGAGCTTTGTGAAAAGAAGCTTGAAGAATATAAGGGCATTATGGAGAAATTGAATAGGCAGTGTAATTATTTAGCGCGAACTTTAGAGGATGTCCAGAATACTATGAAACAGCGCATAGAGGTGCATTTTAGAAATTGTGTCAAGCTCGGTATTCTTATGCTTTATTCACTGCCATTATTTTGTTGTAGAAAGTGACTGAAGCATGTAACGAGACTCGTGAGCTCGTGATTAATAAATTACTACCCGTTCCCAGTGAGTTAAATTACATCCGCCAATCGCAAGATGAGATCATGCTTGACTGGGTGAACCATCAAATGCAGGAAGAACCGACAGGTTTTCTTCACTCCGTTTTTTTTAATGTTATTCACGTAGTGCTTTCAAATTCTTTTTAAGGTTACCAGATATTCGTCAATGGTATGCTCTGTGGTACTGTTCGAGGGCATCGAAAGAAAGTTATCATTAAAGATTTAAATCCTGGAATAAAATCTGAGTAAGTATAGTAAAATCTATCTAATTTATGTTCGATCAAAGATAATAACCTGAAAAAATTTGAGATGCTTAAAGAGATTTTTTCTTAGCATTTTATCTTACGTTTTTATATTTTCAGAATAAGAATAGTTAGCCTGTATCATCAGTTTAGTGGAGTTCCTTCAAAGGATCTAGTAGTTCCTCCATTTGATCAGGTCTCCTTACACGTTGAAATTTATTCTTACTTTCAATTTCATCTTTTTTGACAAAACAGAAAGTGTATTGAAGTAAATTTATTTTGCAGGAACCAAATGGATAACTGCTGATGAAAAAGTGTCGACGCAAAAATGAAACTAATATTTTTGAAGCGTAACTAACATCAAAGAAGCCATTTCCTCAGTGGTCTTCACTAATGTTGAATATTCTCCTCAGTAACTGCTGTAATCTGTATCAAGTTTTCTCTGTATTTGATGAATTTCACATTTCTTCATTAATGCTTTTCACATTCATGAAGATCTCATCAGTTTAATTTATGGTAACTTCTCGAATATTATTTCATAAGGATCTCAGATTGATGTATAATATTACTATTTCAAATACTTGGTGTTTACTTCACTTATACTTGTGCCTTTTGAAAATAAAAATTCCAAATAACCGTCAAAAATGGTTTTTTTTTTCCAATAAACAACAGTAAATGGAATTAGCGTTTTGAATTGCATTTGCACGACAGATCTATGATCTATTTATCCATCCTGTACTTTTCATATGGTTAGTGCTTCTACGGATAACACTAAGCTAAAGATGAATGACTGAAATTAAGGGAAACTATTTTTTCAGTGGCCTTCGTTAGATGTTGAATATTCTTCTCAGTTGCTGTAACCTGTACCAAACTTTCTTTTTACTTGATGAGTTTCGCACCTTTTATTGATCGCATCATTCTTCCTGAACTTCTGACCAGCTAGGTACTCTTAATTTTTTATCATTCAAACAAGTTTATCAAGTGAAGTTTATCATATGAAGTCCTCCATAGTCAGGATGTTCCATTTTCGAAATTTATTGGAAAATGATTGCAAATTTCCAAATATGCACAAGATAATTATCTTCTATAAATATAGTAACAGGTGACAGCAATTATTCAGGTGGATCAGTTTTTAAATTCATTCTGGACATATATTTATTAGCTCTCCTATTCGTACCTGTTATATTATGAAATTAGGATAGAACGTGTAGATCATGCTTGTTCTACGTATAGTCCTTGATCTATATTCTTCCTTAATATATTGCTGTGAATAAAATATAAATATAATAGTTTCCTGACCTGGGGATGCTTTCTGAATTTCTACTCTTCCAGTATACAGTGGTTTTGAGATTGAAGTAGGTTAGTGCTAGAAATGGAGAAGTGAAACAAATTTTCACAACTGGGTCATGACCAGGATGCGCATCTTGGTCATGACCCAGTACATGGTGGTACTATCACTTCAGTCACTTTAAGAATATACCAGTTAGAAATGTACAAAGTACTCCCGATATGTATTTAAGAACTAAACGTTTAGGGGAAGTAGTATGCAAACAAAACATGATTTCTAGTCTAATACAAGCAGAGATGCAGCAAATGGCTGAGATTAGACTGTTGCACAGCGACAAGCTGCTTCTATTATCAAAAGCTTATGATGATTATCATGCAAAGATAAGTAACGGTGCTTTTTTGATTGGATGTGTAGATTATAGAGGGTGGTGGTTAAATTGGTTAAGTGATGGTTCTATTTTATTTTGGAGGGAGTACAAGGTTTGCGATCGGATTTGCCTTGGCGATGAAAAGATTCGTTAGATTTGGTGGGTTTTAGTATTTGTATATGAGGAAAATAGATGTGATATGCGTGTGTTGCGTTGGATTTTTTTAGATTTTTCAGCTCAAAATGTCTTTCATGACGAATGATTTGGATGTGAAATATGGCGCAGTGAATCAGAAAGAAGTAGTCGCTAAAAAAAAGAAACGAAGGAAGTCAAAAAGAAGAATACTCGAAATTGACTTCACACCTCCACCCGATAATTGGTCTCGGTGAGTTGGTTTAGTATTTACATTTATTTAATTCTTTTTCTTGTATTATTTGAGTGGAAGGTAATAAATATGTATATTTAGGTGGGAATAATTGATTGCTCAATACTAAGTTCCCTGTTTCATAGTATCTTTTAACACATTTTTGGGTGCTACTCATTGATTTGCCTTATTTTGTGGTTATTGCAGAAATTATATGAAGATATAAGCCATTGATGTTGTTAGGTTCAATGCATCAAAGTCTCTGTTTGCTTCTAAATATATACCACAGTAATCTATATAGCATTCGCGTTTCTTCAAATCTTCAGTGGTATTGTATTTTAAATCTGTATTTGAAAACAGTGCATATAATTTATATAAGTGTTGTATATAAATTGTTATGACTGTATTGCAGATCTGATTCAAATGTTTCATGTAATGTAAAGGAGAGAAATTTTACATCATCCTCTGACAGTTCTGATGATTATTTGTCGGATGTTTTCAGTCGACTTGTACCTGTAATGAGAGATGTCTTAATGTAAGTTTCATTTTATTGTTGGAAAAGATTAGAATGTTTTTAATTGATGCTTTGAAAATTATACTGATTAGTGTTCTGCAGAAACACAGTTTTTTCTAAGCATGAAGTGGAAAGTCACTTTTTTTACATCAAAAGAATATTTTTGAAACAAAAGTTCACAAAAATGATCATTGTTATGCTTTCTCAAAATGATAAAGTAAGTATATATTCTTTTAAAATTACTGTAGTGTCAGCTCAATTTTTTCGAAATGTTTTGTTTTGTAGAAAGTTTGTGCACTGTGTTGGTAATCGCGCATTTCTCATTGAAGAAGCTGTTGATTACTTGAAGGCATCAGACATTTCAGTAGAATGCAAACAGATGCTTAGCTCATTAAATGATTCACAATTGCATAATCTTTTCGAGCAGTTGAACCTGTTTTATATCTCATATGAAGGTTCCAAGATTATGGTACGAATGGTGAGTGCTTTCATATGGAAACAAATTATATTAATAAAATTTGATCTCTTACTCAATAATTTTGAGTATGTTTTGGACTGTTTGGGTATATTTCTTATTTTCGCTGTTGAATATCTTAAGTAAAGTTGCCAATTTGTTTTTATTTTCAGATTAATAAACCATCTTCTTTATTTCATTCTAACAGGGCAGTATCAAGAAATATTTTTTTTTCAAATATCAATAATCAGTCAGCAAAAACTCCTTTCAATTGCATCCTGGATTCTCCTCATGCTAAACCCCTGTCTTCAATCACAAATGATTTTATTAAGTAATCTTGTTTTTGTAGTATTACATAGGTTATAATGCTGCAGTGTGTTAGCTTATAATGACTACAATTTTTCTTAGCAGGTTACCACAGCAACATTTGAATGGAACAGAAACGATGAAGCCGGAGCAGGATGCATTGTTCACTTCCCATCGAAAAGTTAATGGCGTTATGATCGGTCATAAAGATTCAACGGTGGTAAAATTTTCTCCTTTACTAAATAGAATTTTATTTAAAACTGAAGTGTTTTGAACATCATTTTCGCAGAATTTTGGGAATTTCGTTTCTACTCAAACGAATAGCACAAATGTTTGTTTTGTTTATCAACTTTTTGATACGAAACCATTTTCTAAAGTTCAGCCTATTGGCTGAAAATGGTTTCGTATCAACCAGTCAGTCATTAAGGGTAATAGAAGTATTCTGTCCTAAAGTTTACCGAAGGGTTTGTCAGAAAAAGTATGTGTATTGTATTAAAAAATGAAATATGCTTGATTGAAAAATTTACTCGAACTGTCTTGTAATTAATACAAAGCTCATGATTATTGAATTCAGTTTTCAATTCAGGAGGGACTATTTATTCAACATGATAGATTTTATGATCAAAATACCGAACTCATGGATGGGAAATTCATTTTTCAAAAACCGAAAATTGAAATAATGTTAGAAAATTTTTACATCTCGTATTTTTTATATCTTTGTTTCTAATGGTTATATTTTTATGTACTATTTGGAAGACTTTGATCAATATTTTTTTAAGTGATTTGTTTTGGAAAATAACTTTCAGGAAAAGATGTACGGAGCAGCGATTAAAAGCAGAAAAAAGATGTGACGAAAAATTATTTTCCATGTCTTTAATGTTAAAAAAAGCATATGTAGGTTACCATTTTATTGATTTTCAATATGGTGTATACTATGGTTTGAAACTGCATTAAGCATTTTATTGTTTTTAAAGAAGTGATTTACAGAAAGAAATATTGGATCTGCGCTTAGGCAAAGCAAAAGCATTAGCAAATAAAAGAATTGGACAAGCTGAATTCGCTTTAATACATGCTAATATAGTATATAACAGGTTAAGTTCCTTATTTTGTGCCTAACTATTATGTCAGTGCTGTACTTGTAATACTACGGAAATGATGTGTCATACCCTTTTCTTGCTACACATCAACTGAACTAATACTGAAAAGATGCTAATATTGTATTTAGGATCCTTGCAAATTTAATTGCTGGAAGCCAAAAACTATATTATTAAATTGGACAATTTTTGAATTTACAAATTTTACTGTTTCTAGCGACAAATTTCCTTATTGAGTGTGATTCGAATTGTCTTTATAATATCTAAACCAAGTTACATTTTTCTTACTTTCATAATAAATAATGGCAGATTAGAAATACTCACAGTAATTATTCACGTATAATTTTTTTATTAGGGTGGACGATAAAATGGTTAGAGCAGATATAAGATATATAATTAAAGAGTGGGAACAAATACGAAAGGATTATAAAGATTGGCACGCCAATTTAGACGTATGTTAAGTTTTACAATGTGATTCTTAGTTATTACGTATAATAGTGTTTTTCGGTTACTTTACGTTTTTACTGTAGTCTCTTCAAAATATGGCATGCTTTTCCATGTGTTGTGATTGAAAATTTACAGGAAATTGTTGATGGTCAAAAAGCTCAGGTTGACTCAAATTATAATTTCGATGAACTCGCGCTTCTCTCGGTAAGATTTTTATCGTTTGGTAGCATAGCATATATGGTGAAGTCATCAGAAGCAGATTTTTAAAATACTGGTCCCAACTTCCAGCCCCCAGATCATATCCCATGTGCTCCTCAGTTGCCTCCGTATGCTCTAAAATATTTTCAACGACTTGAATTTGAATGCAGTTTTAATGATTCATCATCAGAAGTATTGGTACGATTTTGCTTAATAAATAAAAGTCATTTAGATCGATCATATTTTCAAATAGTTGTTTATTACTGGAATAATGCTTCAAGTCAGTTCTTAGTCTGCTTTTGATTATAAATTTTTTAATTTAAAATGTTTTTTAAAAATTTTCTTCAAAAAGTGTATATTACTGGCAGTCATATAAGCACAGTATTTTCTATTGAAAAATGCAGGAGCTTGATGAGATTGTTAGTTTCCTAAATCTTGTTTATTTTTCTTCTCAATAATTATTTAATTACCGATATGCAGCGATTTTTTGGTGCGCCTGTTGCATTTGAAAAAGAAATGACAGGTGGCAGATTTGGTGCAATCGGACAACCGGCACCACCACTACAAAGGAAAGTATTTACAAGAGCACAAATAGATGAATTTGATGAAATAGTCAGTATTTTATTGCATAGTATAAGTCTGCATATAGAAGAAACTAGTATATATATCTATATATTCATGGCCTGAATATGAAAAGATTTATCATACATATGTACATGATAAATCTTTTCATATTCATTGCAAGCATTTTTTCTAGGTGGAAAGGACTATGAAGCATTTCCAGTCTCACAATCCTCATGGAGGTATTTCAGATTTAAAGGCGTATGTATTTTATAAAATTATATTTCTCCACTTCCCATTGATGATTGCGCTTCTAAATTCATTTCTTATTCATAACGCTTATTTTTTTCAAGAGAACAAATCAAAAAAGTTGTAAGCGAACTTGACCAACGTCCCTTAGTACATGGCTTGAGCTCGAATTTTTCTTCAGTGCTTTCCCATGTTAGTTCATTCTTTAAATTCTAATTCAGTTTTCGGAGATTTTTTTCTTTCTAATCCGAATATGGAAAGATTCATCATTCACATAACTGATCTGTTTCACATGTTTTTAATGATTTTTCGATCTTTGCATGTGAAAATGAGATCATGAAGAACTATTTGATCATGAATTTGCTTTAATTTCATATTTAAAAATAATTATTTAGAAAGCAGTTCAATTTCAGTAATGTACTGCAGCATAAAGGTAATATTCTTTGACAGATGTAAACACTGATTTATTATACATATGTACCGTTAATCACAAAATAATGCTCTGTGAATCATAAATTACCGAATTATCTTGTATGTTTGTGGTAATATTGCAGGTAGTCAGACGAATTACGGAAATGTCCGATGTTGGTAATGAAAATACCGATAGTAAGCGGAATGCATCTTGTTGGGCATCATTACCAGAAACTTCTGTAAGATAGTTTCTTTGTACAGCTTTTACATGTTTTATATTAGTATCAAAATATCTGGCAGTGTTAGTGACTTGTGTAACGTGATGCGAAACTTATAATTCTCTCCCTTCTATTCTATAATGTTTGAAGTTCTTCTCAAAAATTTGTTTAATATATCATTCAGTTTTTCCTCATACGTTGAGATAGTTTATGCCATGAAAATATGCCAGAAATATTACTGATCAGTTCTTTTCATGGAACCTTTTTCATTTAGTACAAGTAGTCTTTAATAATATAATTATGTATTGCTGCATATAACGCTTGTTTGGCAGCTGAAAGTGAATACTGAAACTTTGCTTTTAAAAATGGCGGCTTCATAGTTTGCAAAGGAAATGATCTTTGATGTATTTACCTCAAGGATATTTTTTTATAACTTTGTTACAATGTGCTATAGTCACATCATATAGAGTACATAACTTACGCGGGTTCTTTCTGAAAAAAAAATGCAGGCTTAAAAATTGAATAGAAACTTCTTATTATCGTGTCATAATCGTTTGGACGGCTCATTCTTAGAAATATATTCGTATTATTCGTCTTTTCTAATATTAAACATAAAATGTGCCTAAATGATAGAATTAAATGTAATCTTAGCTATATAGTTCATTTTCCCGTTTCATGTTATGACCTTTTGCTAAATTTGAAAAACTTTAGTACCTAAGCAATCGAACATTTACAACTGATTCTTTTTTAAATTGTAACTAACTGGAAATTTCGTACGAGCCTGAACTTTTTGAACGTCATCATATTATCATTTGCCTTCTTTATAAAATTCTGCCAGTATTTAACTCATTTCAAATTAATTTTTAGGCATCCCATCGTCCAGTGAATTCAGAAAACCAAAAATGCTTAATCTGTTTCCTAACGTTCGTTGATAATGAGAAGTTGATAGAATGCCCTTCTTGCTTCAGTTCGTATCATCACAGGGTAATTTTCTCATATTTGGTAGGGCTTTAGATTCTTCAAACAAATGGTATTCACTGGAAGGTAAATATTGATATCAGGAGTTTTAAATTTAAATATCTGGAAGGCTGCGGCAATCCAGAAACTCGCGCTAGCTTAAAACAACTCGTTAACGATTGCATTCACTTCAGATGTTTACGTAATCGCTGCTATTAATAAATATTGATTTTTGGAACCACAATCTCTTGTAGTTATGTTTATGTGACTAGTTTGACTTTTTTACAGTGTGGAACCAAGTGGCTGAAACAAAATTGTATTTGTCCGTTCTGCCGTCAGTTGTGGAGTAATCCAGATGACTTTCCATCTTTATCTAGGAACAATTTACAACAAAATGCATCGTAATGCTCCGGATCAATAATTTGGACAAGCGTTCTCCCAGTGAGCATAGCAAAACTATCCAACTCCCATTCTGCTTACCTCCTCTAGCCAGTTATTTTCTGTGTAATTTCTGATGCGATCTGCTGATCCTTAAACACTACCTTTATTTCATACAGGAATGGCAGCAGCATTCCTCTCGCAAATTGTTGTTCAGTCAGGTTTTATTTTCTGTTTGTTGTTCAACCACGTTTTATTTCATGTTAATTGTTCAACCACGTTTTATTTTCTTTAGAGAAGTCCAAGTATTACGATATTCGAATACTATAGTTCAAATCAGTAATTAAAGTTAGTTGATTTTGTTACCGGTATGGAAACATTCCTTGTGAATTATATTCCATCATTTTTACGCTTTAATTTTTACCGTTATCTACTATACATAGTGGCTGCATAAACTTTTTTCACAATAAGAGATTTACAATTTGACAATTTGGATTTATAGCAACAAAAAACATGTCCAAATTGAAATATATAAAAAGTATTGCGTTATTTATCAAAGTGGCTTACGAACCAGTCAGGCAAAAAATTAAATTCACTGTCTGGCTTGCAAACCTCATATGTTACAGATCGTTCTGAGGGGTCAAATATTAACAAATAATATGTAAGATCCGGAGAAGTACTTAGCAATTCCTTCATTCGATCAAGTGCTGCGTAGAAAAAGTTCAAAATAACATTCGAACTCCATGGAGCATTATATGGCAAATCGGACACATTTACTAGCCCTACATGCGTGACAAAACCTAGAACAGACAATATTACTTTACAAATGAAAACACTTAATGAAAGTAACATGAATATTTATGAGTAAGAAGTTTGACATACCGTTCCTGTCCCTAAAACCGGTAACTATATTTTTTATGCCTGCAAGAAACGACTGTATCCACCACTTCCTCGATTTGTGTTCACGAAAAGTTCCTCCAAAGTTGTCAAACGACGTTTTCAATTCTACATAGTTTCCATCTGAAATCAAAATATGTGGGAGGTATATAACATATTAGTTATTGAACAAATATAACAAACTAAAGGAAGAAAAATAACTCTCATCCACATTCCATTCTTTAGTTTCATTTTCATAAATAAGTGCAGTGCAAGGATCCAATATATATATCCCAAACACGAAAGTTACTATTCCTTCGGATACAAGAGTATTGATTTGTAATGAAGAATTTATCCAAAATGAAGCAAGCCTTGTGCCATTTTTGATACAACAACGTACCTGCATTGGTGCAATCTGTTTCAGCAGAATATAACAGACGAAATCTTTCTCGCTTCTTAATGCGTGTTTTAACAACAATACGAAACTCTTCCAAGTTCGATACTGGTTCATCCGTTTTAGGCTTATCCTGAAAATTTTGTCTGTCTTGCTGATCAGGTAATTTAAAGAAATCTAAAAAATTAGGGTACGGTTTGTAATAATACCGTTAAGAACTGATGAGTGACGTACTGCTCAAACTTATGTCCCCAAAAAGTCATCAATCTTTCACGATGAGAAGCAGACTGAATTCGTCGAACTTTTCGATCAGTCGAAAATTCACATACGAAAATGACAGATTTGAAACGGACAAAACATAACTGCCAGTCGTCTTGAGTTTCGTAAGGTGTAGCAGCTAATCTCGATAAACACCCACGGTTGGAAACGAAGTCTGCATCGTGACATACCTTAAAAATCGTCAAAAAGGTTTCTAAATATGACTAAAAATCGTCAAAAATGTTTCTAAATATGACTAAAAATCGAAAAAAGTGCTGTGATGAAAAATTAAGAAAACTTGAGTCACAAATTCTTGTTGTTACTATGTGTGGTTTTCTGCTGCTACTCTATAATAATTCGTGGTCTACAGTATCTTAAGACAAATGCTCCAAACAGTTTACTAAACAAGACAATAATCTTCTATTAATGTTTATTTCTAAGGCAATATTCAAAAATTTGTGAAAAATAAATGATAGTGACAATATGAAAGGCTTTTTTGAATTTTTTCTGTTAAAAAAGATTGAAGTGAGACTTTTGCAAGAGAGGTGCCGGGTTCGCTATGTTTCAAAATCCACTTTAACATCACATCCAATTTTTCTTCATTAAGTTGGTTATAGCTTTGAAATCGTTCGAATCCACGATTTAAGTCTAGCATACATCTTTTCCCAATAATGCCCTCATACAGATATCTCAATCGAGATCTACCAAGCATTATGTCCCGGTTTTTATCAACAAACATTTCTCCAATTATTGTTGGCTCTTCAAATTCAGGACTTGAATCTTGGTAGAGCGACGAATCGGTTGCTAAGAACATTCTATAAACAAAGCAATAAAATTTAAGTTATTAGTCTCAACAAAATTATTTATCCTATATACTATAAATAATTCACTACAATAGTACCGTAATGTAAATATGAGACAAAAATCAATACTGAAACATCAATCATGCGGTATCAGAGTGCAAATTATACATTCTCATAAGTTTGCATTAATAGAGCAAAAATGTTCGCTACGAGATCAGGAGCCATTGAAGAATAAGTTTGTGTTTGCTTATTATGGGTATGTTATTTGATTTCACAAAGCTAGGTTACAGAAGTTAAGGATAAGGATGATCGCTGGAGATGATAATCTATATGATTCTGACGATAATGCTTCGTTGTCAAAGGTATTTTCTTTGCATACAAGCTTTTTCATATATAAAACCTTTTTGCATGTTATCATGAATAATTTTTGTATCTCTTTAATTTTTAGATGATTTGGGTCTTTTTTAGTAAAACTAAAGCAAAGCTGGGAAATTCACACATTTGATTGATGATAGTTTGGTACTGATAAAATTGTGCTGCTTTATATTCTTGATCCAGTTTTCTTAACGTTTTTAAATTCATCTTTTTTGGGCATTAATCTTGTGATGATTTGTTGGTATGTGTAAATATAAATTTACTTGTATGAATTGTAAGATTTGTAAACAGTGTTTGTCTATGTTAATCAAATTTGACGAAATTTGTGACAATTTTCAGAAGAAATGAATTTAGGATTTAGGTGGTATGACATCAGTGGATTTACGTCTTGATGATGATATTCCTCAACCAAGTGTACCTGCTAGACTTTCACTTACAGAAAATCCAGAACAAAGTCTTCCAAGCGCTCCATCTTTCTATGCTGAAGTAAATCACCCAACTTCTCCTCTACTCTGTACAGAAGCTCAAAAAATTGACATTGTCATCAATGAATTCGAAAAAAAAGGGGAAGGAATGAGTGCATACATTGTATACAAAGTTGTTACTACGGTATGTTTTAATTTCAAATTACCAAAATCTCAAGAGTAATTTCTTTTTTTATGTGTGACTGCTTCGGTCCTTCCATTTTTCAGACTCAAAATATGATGGGTTATGCAAATCGAGAGAATGTCGTTTGGCGGCGATTTAGTGATTTTCTCGGTCTTCATAAAAAATTGGTGGACAAATATTTTTATAAAGGTTATTTGGTGCCAGCAGCTCCAGAAAAAAGTCTTGCTGCTCTTACGAAGACAAAAATAAATGCTTCTGTTGACGATAATACGAATAAGTTGGTGGTTACCTCTCACATTCATAACTAAATTAATGAGAGACTTGGTTGCTGAAGTCAATTTTGAGTGGCATAATATTTTGTCGAATTTTTTATGTTTAGTGAATTCGCAGAACGTCGAGCAAGAAGTCTTCAGAGATTCTGTAGGCGTATTGCTCGTCATCCTAAAATGGTTGTTGACTGTGATTTCCGAGATTTCTTGACAATGACAGCATCTCTACCTCGATCCATTTCTACAGCAACCTTAAGTAGTGCTGGGGTTAAGAGAATGTTTAAAACAGTCGGAGATGTGTTGTCAAGAATGGCATTTCATATGGACGAAAATGACCGATGGTTTGAGACTGCACAACAGCAAGTTCGTTTAGGATTGTATATTTTTTATCCTTTATTATGCGGCACTGAGTTTTTCGATTTAAGTTTTGTATTTTTTATAATGATTACTTTGCTATACTTTGAATTCGTGGTTAAGTAATTTGGGAATTTGAGATGGAAGATATGGAACAAAGTTTGAATAAATTGCTCCGGGTAGTTGAATCGTTGATTTCATATCGTCGAGAACTAATATCTGGTACCGACACATTTTCTAAAGCACTCGCAATGCTTGCTTCTTGTGAGGAGAATACGAGCCTTGCACGATGTTTATCCTATTTGACTGAAACATATGAAAATATCGATCAGTTACACGGTACACAGTCGGAGAAAGATTGTGCGCTACTTGCAGAGGGAGTCAGTGAACAGTTACAGATTATCTACACATTGAAAGTATGTGCATGAAACTAAAGGCGTTCAATTTCACATCGAATTGCTTATTTTACATGCATTTATGGAATATATGTGCTATTTCTTCCAAGGATTTACTTTGCTTGAGAGATGGTTCATAAGATTATGAAACTTGATATTATAGTAACTCCGAACTGGAAATCTTTAGATTTTCATATCAGTTGATTTAAAATTCGTCCTTCATGCTCCTTTCTTACTTGGAATAACTAAATTTTGGGAATTGTTTTTCGAACGAGTCAAAATTTGGCAAAATTGGCAGAGTGCGCAACAAAACCTGACTAGGAAACGCGAAATAAAGGCTCGTCACGAACTTTCTGGTCGAACAGACAAAGCAAATCAAATTATTGAAGAATTGAATTTCGTACGTCTTTTGTTTTTGCAACGCAGTAGCATCAGTTAATAAAGTAATCCTATATCAACTCGTCAAGTAAGTGCCTTATTTGTGCCATGTTTTCTGCATTTATTAACATTATTTTTTTATTTTTTAGTAAACTATTTTACTTCATCTGTAATGTAGGCAGAAAAAGCAGTTGATGAAGCAGAAAAGGAGTTTTCCGAAGTAAGTAAAGTTATTCGTGGAGAATACGAAATGTTTTTGGTTGGTCGAAAGAGTGACATGGACGAAATGCTCAAGCGATATCTTCAAGAACTCCTTGAGACTCAGAAACAACTTTTACGTCATTGGGAAAGATTCGCGCCCGAAACACAGTCTATCGCGACAGTGTAACTATCGGTGCATAAATCCTCACCATACTGTGATTTTGATGCAGTAGTTATCGGGTTACCGTCTTTGTTTGAATTTATAGGTCGAAGAAATGTAGCTGTCACTAGAACAGTCGCTTCTCTTAGCTATGCTTTCTATGTACCTAATAAATTTATCTTAGTCTGTTTTGTGAACAATATCAGCCATTTAGTACTAGAAATATGACAGTAAAAATCAAAAACTGAATATATTTGTCCACTCAAACCGTATGACATTTGAGGTAGTATAGCTCAGTCATTAAATTATGTGACTGAGTCCTTGATTTTATATGATATCTTTATCAATAGATTAGCCAAAAATACATTCAAAGAACAAGTTTAATGTTTTGAAGTCTATATCGGTATGTTACATTGCTGTAAAACACTGCCAAAACTAATGTTTAATAACTACTCGGTACCAAAACTAAGATCTAATTACTACTCAGTATATAAAAAAATAACACATTGAGATGCGTCCAAAATTATTTAATACAAACTTTGAGGAAACTCAAAGACAGAGATTTTAAATCTCAGCGAAAAGGATTCCAAGAACCTGCAGTATTTTATCGACAGCAAAGAGTTTATAACTATGATCTGAATAGACTAATATAACTGAAAATTCTAACGTTCTCATGGGAAACTGAAATTCTTTGGACTTTCATAAAAACCAGCTAATCTTTCCCTGCGCATAAAACAAAGTAAGGACACGAACAGCACAAGTGGATGCTGAAAGACGTCATAAATCAGTACGAGTGACTATTGGGAAAGCATGAGCTTCGGTATTAAATACCCATTTATTTAAAGGCATAATATTGTCGTCTGAAAAAGTGAGGTATAAATATTTGAAGGTTTCAGCAAGTAGAAAGCTTTGTTGCACATCATCAAAAGTTGGTTGGGTACTGTACACATTTCTTATGCCAGAATATCTGAAAGTATAGCTATAAGTAGAATTTATATATCTAGTAAATAGCGTCCTACTTCAGAATTTATAAGAAAATGATGTTAATGAAGAGGTTTGGTCAGCAAAATCGTAGTCGACTGGAAGCTAAGCATAACTGAGAATACTAACTGACGACTCACCCTCCAGATGTCCTGCAATATTTTTCAATAGCTTTAGCAGCCATCCAACACCATTCCCTGTACTTGTTCTTTCGTGTTGCTCGCCACAAATAAAACCAACCCTCAATGACCTGAACTTGAATTGGTCACCTAAGTCTGAATCTAATGCAACAACTTTTTACATAAACATGTCAAATTTGAAGAAGAAGCAATTCTCACTTCAGGCCGAAGAATATAGTATTTCTCTCTATCGTTGACCGCCTGAGCTTCCATTTCATCACTAAAGCGAAATGATTCTGGGCCAATACCTGTGGCTGAAAAGTTAATTTTATTCACCAGTTCCAGCCACAATAAAGCTAACTCTCACAACCTATACACATTTGCACTTATGAATGAATTTTCCTAGTCAGACAAACGATTAAAATTTACCTGTTCGGACATATGACTCGTGACAAGTATTAGCGACTTCTTCTGCAAGTTTCAGGGTATCACTGCGTCGCTGCATATTTTGCTCATTTAAGGCTTCTAATGTAAACATGCCAACAATAAAACAAGCCAGATGATCCATCTTGTGCAGCTCACGTCTCCCCTTGAGTTCTAAATTAAGAGAAATTATAAAAGCATATCAGCAGCACTATTATGCACACTGAAGATTAAGAAGTGCACACTGAAGTAAATTTAAACTGCAAAACAAATAACTAAAAAATTCTGACTTACAAGTAAATAGCTTTTTTAATCCATCACATTTCAAAAGTTTCCATATTTTCTACAAACAAAACACTAATAACCTATGAAATATGCAAGATGATTTTGTTTTGAATACCGCAACAAATGCTTTTTTATGGAATATATTGCTGCATCATACATTTCTTTAGATACTCCATCACTTTTTCCAGACCTAATCCATGACTTTAGTAGATATTCATAGAAACTATCACCGAGAGCGCCAACCGAGATATGTTCTAGTAAGAAAAAGCATCAAAAGAGAAAAAACCTATTCTACACACATGAATAGCTACGGTAAAAGTGCTATGTTGAAAAAAGTTTCTTTGTTGAAGCAGTCACTTTAAAAAATTTTTAATCAGAAATTAATAAAAAAGACTAACTGGGACCCCATTTACCAGATCTTGGATGTAAATAATTAGGATAGAGTCCATCTTTTGTTCGTACTGAAAGTATCATTTCTTGAATGCGCTTTACCTAAAAGTTCAATTCAATAAACGAGCACATATAGAAAAAAGGTAAATGATAAGTCTAGCGAAAAAA